ACCACAGGCACTTGGAGCGTTTCAATAAAATATAATGCTAAATAAATACGAAATCTATGTTTCTCTCATTCACCTATTATTGCCGACAATTTCCTGTAAATGCCGTCAAAATGCTCATCTACAACAAACACTGGCTGCCGCCATTGCTGCCGCTGCACACTGACACATAAATATATATTTATAACACTCTGCGACGTGTATACAGTCGGAGAGCCTGGTCGGTTTACCATAGGAGTAACAACTGTTTTGGGGCTAGCCTTACACATTCATATACCAAAATTTAACAAAATCGAATGAATCTAGATGACCATTGTCATTTTTGCCAAAAAGAAGGCGTGGCTCGAAAGTAGGTCGACTGGCGTGCTCCAAAATAGGACGTTCAAACCTCTGCCATAGGAGTATAACAACTATAATTTTATGCAATTTGAAACATGTGGGTCAAACGATTCTTGAGTTATCGTTGACCGTAGCCAAATGTTGACGGACGGACGCACGGACGTACGACGGACGTACGACGGACGACACCCCATGGCAATAGCTCATCTTGACGATGTCAAGGCGAGCTGAAAATCAGCCAAAATAGATACTTTTAAATCTGTTTGTATAACGTCGCCAGAGCAACACACGACGTCTGCTTGTATACGGCGAGAACAATACAAAATAAAATCTCACACACGCGCGCGCGCACACGGACGCACGCGACACATGTGAATGCAGGCAGTGAGCGTAACGACACAGCGTAGTGACAAAAGAGACAAACTAAAACGTAATCTGTCATAACGAGTGCGTGCATCGGCATACACATGCGTGCAACCTGACCGTGCGTGCAGTCTATATACACTGTTGATCAACACTGATATTGTTGATCTGTTACTGGTGCTGTTTCATTACAGCCCTAGAAAAGATTTGACCGAGTGAGTGAGTAGGTGAATGAGTGAGTGGGTGGGTGAGTGCATGAGTGGGTGGGTGAGTGAGTGAGTGAATGAGTGAGTGACCATGGTGACAGCAATATGACTCATACTTTGTTAACAATACTGTACAACCCTGTCATAACTACTCGCCTTTCGTCATTTTTACGTAAATGCACTCGACAGAAAAATGATAATCGATTGATACAATAACCTGCAGTCGGGCACAGTTAATATTAATATAACGAAGAGACACGTAAGAGATGCGCGACAGAGACACAGGTAATAGACGTAGGTAAGATAGGAAAGTAAGACATACATGTAAGAGCCACAGGTAAGAGATGCAGGTGAGACGCACAAGAGAAGGGGAACCGGGGTAGAGAAAAAAGTATAAACACAATATTATTCTCATAATATATCTCCCCCTTCGCTCCCGCTCTCTATCTCCGCCCACCTCTCTTATACGCAGTCCACGTACACATAACGTCAGCTGAATGCTTCGCGCTATGGTATATCTATATATGGTACACCGAGCTCCCGTTGCTATTCAAGTGCGACGGAGCGCTACCGGTTTGGCCGGATTTATCCGGTGGGGGGGGGGGCAACCTTCCGTGAAGGAACGCTTACCGCGCGTGAACTCTCAGTCAGGTGTCAGCGACCGGAGAGCGTGAACAGCGTGAAAAGCGCGCGCACGCGGAGCGGTGATGGCGAGTGCGCCAGTGTTGTCCGTACGTAGTATGCTCACGCCAGTACATGCGTCGCAAGCACGTCAACTGCTAATGTACTCCTGAAAGAACACGTCTTCGTGCTTCTGGTGAGCAGAGAGAAAGAGACAAAGTGACAGAGACAAAGAGACACAGATAGATAGAGAGGAAGAAAGACAGAGAGAGGATGAGAGAAAGAGAGAGAAAGAGAGAGACTTAGAGAAGGCGGAAGAGTGGCAACGAAAGTGAGCGAAAGTGAGCTGCTTATGCGTTAGTGGTCGTGGCACCGTCTGCGACAATGTGACTGCATTAAGAACCACAGACTGCGGCATTGATCGACAGTAAGGCTATAGACGGGCCGACAAGCAAGTACACGGACACAGAACAGACTATCGCTTCGACTCTCCCACCATCATGCTTAGCCAAGTCTACGACAGGAGCGCACCCTCGCATCGCATCCAACCGAGAATGACCATGGCCGACATCTGGCGGCGAGTATACCCACATGGAACGATGACTGCCCTCTGGCGGCGAACGAGTCCACGCAGACTACTCACCGCCATCTCGATGGTGGCGCTGCTGTCGATGATGATGTTGGCGGTGCAGCACAGCAGCCTTGACGACCTGCAGGAGGAGCAGGAGCGACGCGCCGCCCGCTTAGAGCTGCGAGCCGACGCCGACGCCGCCGGGCAGGCGGCCGACCAGCGGTCAAACCCGCCCACTCAACGACGGCCGGACGCGGGCAACCCGCGCCGGAGCGACACGCGGCCGGTTGCGAACACCCGGCGTCGGTATGAACCAGAAGCAGCGTACGGCCAGCGTGAAGGAATGAATTCACATCCAGTACGGCAAGGCGACGCCGTGCTCTCCGACAACGACCAGTGGCAGGGCAGACCGGAGCAGGCGGCAAATGACGTCATAAACGAGCGCGCTTACTACTCGCTTAATGACGTCAGAGACGCACGTGTCGACTATGTGGGCGATGACGTCATAGAGGAACGAAGCGACTACGAGGACGATGACGTCCGTGACTGGCGAGGTGACCGTGTGGAAAAAGCTGCCTTACAAATGCTGGCTGCCTATAAGGGAGGTGGCATCATGCACGATGGGAAGGACTACGACATCATAGATACACGCGGTGCCTATATGGATTATGGCTTAGCACCTTCAAAAGATGACTATATAGACGATGACGTCATGCCATCACATGGTGAGTATAGGAGCAATGACGTAATAAGCACACGAAATGACTACGTAGGCAATAATGCCCTGCATGCGAGACAGTTCTACAACACGTATCCCTCTCGCCAGCAACCGATGAACTGGATAAGCTACAAAAACATGGCGTCGCGCGTGACCACAGCGCCACCGCCGGTCCTGGCCGACGCGCCATCTGGTGAGTCGCAATCGAGTGTCTCGTCTGCCGACAAGGGTAGTACGGCCAGCCTCACGTCAGGCAATGCTCAGTGGGGCGGGGCGGCTTCTCCCAGTGCTGCCCTTTCTGAGGAGGCCTTTCCTGGTGTTGCCCTTCCTGGGGCGGCTTTTCCCAGTGCTGCCCTTCATGGGTCGGCCTCTCCCAGTGCTGCCCTTTTTGGGGCGGCTTCTCCAAGTGCTGCCCTTCCTGTGACGGTCTCTCCCAGTGCTGCCCTCCCTGGGGCGGCCCCTCCCAATGCTTCTCTTTCCAATCCAGTCCCGGCCCCTCCCGGCGTGGCCGACGGCGAGGCTGTGACGACGACGACCAAGGTGTCGCTAGAGCAGCTGAGGCACAGCTACGCAGGCTTCAACCTCAGCCACGTCGCCGGCGGCTACCTCATCGACACGCCTGGCTGCCGCATCAGCGACGTCGACCCGTTCGACCGGCACGTACGCCGCTTCATCGTGCGCGCCGACGTGAGCTGCGCCGCGCCGCCGCCGCTCGTCACGCACTCTGGCGGCCGCCTCGTCGTGCAGCGCCACCTCGCGGCGCAGCACTACCCGGGCTTCTCCGCTTGCCGCTACAGGGAGATCATGCGGCCCGCGTGCGGCACCGACAGCGACTCCTCGTTCGACCTCAGCCCCCTGGTGGTGAACTTCAGCGAGTCGATCGCGTGGCCGCGCGACGCCGAGTTCCTGCACGTCGTCTGCCTCGACGCAGAGGGCGCTACCGTGCACGAGAACTTCTTTGCGGCGACGCCGCGCAAGCCGGATGTCGAGAAGCGATGCCGCGCTGCCGCCGCCGCCGCCGCCGCCGCCGCCGCCGCCGCCGCCGCCGCGGAATCGCGAAGCCCTGCCAATGAGATGCTGAGCGTCATCGTCATCGGCATCGACGCCGTCTCGCGCCTCAACTTCATCCGGCAGATGCCGCGCACCTACCGCCTCCTGGTGGGCGAACTCGGCGCCGTCGAGCTGCGCGGCTACAACAAGGTCGCCGACAACACGCTGGTCAACATCGTGCCGATGTTGACCGGTCGCTTCACGCACGAGATCGGTTACCCGGACGGCGGCCGCCGCATCGACGACGTGCCGTTCATCTGGAAGAACTTTTCGGCAGCCGGCTACCGGACGCTGCTCGCCGAGGACGCGCCCTACATGGCCACCTTCAACTACCTGCGCGACGGTTTCCGCATGCCACCTGTCGACTACTACCTGCGACCGTTCAGCATTGCCGTCGACATGTCGCCGCTCGTCAACAAGAGCACGTTCCACTGCGTCGGCGACAGGCTCGAGCTCGAGATTGTGCTCGACTACATCTCGCAGCTGGCGGCGACGTTCCCCCAGGAGGCGCCTCCGCGGTCGTCGTCGAGGCCGTACTTTGCGTTCGGCTGGAACGCCCGCATCTCGCACGACAGCCTCAACCTGCCGCGAGTCGCCGACGCTCCGTACGCCGACTTTGTGCGTCGGCTGCGCGACGGCGGCCACCTCAACCGCACGGCGCTGCTCGTCGTCAGCGACCACGGCCTGCGCTATGGCGCCTACCTGCGCACGTACGTCGGCAAGCTGGAGGAGCGTCTGCCGGCGATGTTCGTCGCCCTGCCGCCGTGGTTCGCGCGCCTCTACCCGGCCGCCGCCGCCAACCTGCGCGACAACGCGCGCCGCCTCACGACGCCCTTCGACGTCTACGAGACGCTACTCGACGTGCTGCGCCTTCCAGCGGCCGAGCGCGACGCCGCCAGGGAGCGCGACGGGGTACAGGCGAACGACGCCAGGGGGCGCCGAGGTGCCACGAGGGGGCGTAATGGTCCCGCGGAGGAAGCAGCGGCCGCTAGTGGACCGGCTCGCGGCATCAGTCTGCTTCGTGCCATCCCGGCGACGCGCACGTGCGCCGACGCCGGCATCGAGCCGCACTGGTGCACGTGTCAGGACCACCGGCCGCTGTCGCGCGATGACCCGCGCGCGCTCAACGCCGCCCGCTACCTTGTCTTCGCCATCAACAACGCGCTGGCCGCCCACCGTCGCAGCTGCGCGTGGCTGTCCCTGCGGCGGATCGCCGACGCGATGATAGGCGAGGAAACGCGTGCGTCGCTGACGGCGCGGGTCGTGCGCAGCGAGCGCGACGACAGCGAGCAGCACGTCGCGTACGACGACGCGACGCCGCACTTCCGCAGCGTGCACCTGCTGCTCACCGTCGAAACGCAGCCCGGTAACGCCCTCTTCGAGGCGACCGTAAAGCTGTCGGCGAGCGACGACGGCGGCGACGACGCCTACGAGCTGCTGGGCGACGTCAGTCGCATTAACCGCTACGGAGAGACGTCGACGTGCGTGCGCGACTACTCGGCTCGTAAGTTCTGCTACTGCACCGAGTTGCTCACGCTGGACGAGCGACAGCACCAGGAGGCGCGCAGTATCAGGCTGTCGGATGTGGTGCTCGGAGCAGCTTCGCAGCGTGCAGGAGACGACGACGCGCATGGCGACGTAGAGCAGCGCGGTAGCAGCTACGACCCGGCTGCCCGCTCGCCGCTCCTCCCCCGCCCTCTCACAGCAGCAGATTCCTCCCTCCTGCGCCCCCACCTCCCCGCCTCCCCCGGTGACAACGCGGCGGACTTTGGTGATCGGGGCCGTATGGCGCAGCAGCAGGGTGGTTACGTACGTCGAGGGGGCTTCAGGGAGAACGGAGGGCTTCCTCTATTCGGTGCCTTCCCTGCATGGGCTGCAGCCCCGCCCTCTCGTGACCTCTACGGTCCAAGACGACCCAGCAGACCTCGAGGCTCGCCGCGTCTCCCGCAGATGAACCTGAGGCGGCGTGGATGATAACGTAGTATTGGAGAGAGGAGTGACGTCATGAGAGCAGCCGCCGATGGGTCGCCGTACGCGCGGCAGCGATTCGTGGGTTACGGGCCGTGATGCTCGCGAGCGTGCTCGTAAGATGGGCGACGATCGTGTAATGCCCGGTCCACGACGACGGTCTGCGTGTTTAAAATGCGGCGAGGATGTGCGGTGTTTGTTAGTTATATTGTCAAATTTTATTTTGCATGTTTATTTGTTTGTTTGTCTTACGGCTAATTTTATTTTGTTTGTTTGTTTGTTTGTTTTATGACGAATTTTATTTTGTAAATTGACGTTGGGAGGTTTATACGAAGATGTAATTACTTTATACGAGTTTTAATTACGATGACCACTATAACAGTTACTATTACAGGAGATTACGTGATTGTAATTAAGTTTGAATATGTGTAAATATTTGTGTGATGTTTATTCAATTTTTTCTCAAGAACAGAGGGACGCGGTTACCTCTATCGGAAGCTTTAACAGTGATAACATACGGGCAAACCAGCGTGGCTACTTTGTGGGTGTCACTTTCCCCCGGGCGTAGATGGACAAGATGGCGTCGGTGGCGTAGATCATACTAGATGCTTCAAAGTCCAAATCTTCCACAGTCATACTTCCGTGCTAGACATGGCCTTATTTTCCTAACCCTAACCCTAACACAAGTGCAGCCACATCACGTGACCGTCCATCTAAGTGTTTCCCCTACTTTGTATAGATTCCGTGCACATGCGCGCTTGTGCGTGTCTGTATATGTTCGCGCCCGTGCGTGTGTCTGTGTGTGTACGCGTGCGTGCGCATACGTATGTGCGTGAGCGCGTGCTCGTTTATGTGTGCTAGCGCGCTGACCCGCTCATTACAGTGGACGCCCCTATCTTTCCTCCTTGGCAGAGTAACACAGGCGTGATGCTGCCCGCATCGTCATCTTATTCTGTATTAATGATATCCTGGTGAGCAAGGATCCCGATGTGCACGTATGTCATCATGCTAGAGTGACTCCGCTCCCCATGACCATGCAGACCATAGTCTGACATTACTCATGGTCTGAACGTACTGTTCATCTGAAAGTACTGGCGGTCTGAACTGTTATAGTGTGAAAGTACTAATGGTCTAAAAAGTATTGTTAATTCAAAATTACCGGTATAATCTGAAAGCACTGGTGATTTGAAAAGTACCGTTAATCTGGAAGTTCTGGTGATTTGAAAAGTACTGTTAATCTGGAAGTACTGGTGGTCTGAAAAGTACCGTACGCTTAATCTGATCTCGCTTAATTGTACTTCTAATCTGAAAGCACCGTTAGTCTGAAATGTACTGTTAATCTAATAGTACCGTTAGTCTGAAATGTACTGTTAATCTAATAGTACCGTTAGTCTGAAATGTACTGTTAATCTAAACGTACCGTTAGTCTGAATGTATACTGTTAATCGGAAAGTACTGATAGCCTGAAAGTACTATATATGATTGGACATGGTTGTGTGCTTGCGTGATGGCCCACGTTAACAGCATGATCGAGCAACCGGTTAATAAATGATGTCTGTACAACATTACACCTGTGACGTGTTCTTCACGCAACCTTGGCAGAGCGATCGAGACCGGTCCAACCTCAGACAGACATCCGCCAATACACGTGTATGTAATACGACGAACACATCAAATTCTACAGAATGTTCACGGTAATACTGTGTGTAGATGTCTGTGGGTTTAACAAGGCATATAAGGAAAGTAGCCGCTCTCTCTCTCTCTCTCTCTCTCTCCCTCTCTCTCTCTATCAACACACACACACACACGCACGCACGGCACGCACGCACGCACGCACGCACACACACACACACACACACACACACAACACACACACACACACACACACACACACACACACTCTCTCTCTCTCTCTCTCTCTCTCTCTATTCTATCTATCTCTCTAGTCCTCATCTCTTCTCTCTCGCTCTCTCTCTTTCATCTCATTAGAGCGGGGGTCAAAAATTACCATAAGGGTGCCACGTTAAAACCTGGCACCACAGGCGCCCGAGAATACATATAAAAAAAATATATATATATATATATAGAGAGAGCGAGAGATAAGAGAGAGAAAGAAAGAGACAATATTACAAGAAATAACATGTTGCATATAATAGGGTAATCTCTCTAGGGAATCCTCTAAACCTTTCTATTAATGGGTATATATATAATAGAATAGCCATTACATACATGCACCCGTGACGTAGCGATATGTAGGGGCACCCATGCGTGTGACAGTACAAGGCCGTGCATTAGCTACACTACACCTGTTCATTGCCTCCATAGTAAATACATGACAGATGACATAACACATGACGAACGATAAATGCGTTATTTTGAGGCTAATACATCAGCAGTTACTCTCACTGGCCCGTATCTTCCTGTACGCGGGGGCATCTGCGACCGTGCAGGCATAGCGCTCACTAACTCTAGTCAGTTGTGACTAGAGTTACGTGAGCGCCTATGCCTGCCACGGTCGCAGATGCCCCCGCCGACAGGAGATAGCGGGGCCAGTGAGAGTCACTCCCAGAATGGCGCCACGCGTCACTACCGTTACCATATAGCGCGACCGCCAGACGACTTTGAAGTCGCGGGAAGATTTACAACGAATTACAAATTAATAATTGTTAATACTCGATAGATTAGACGTGTGAATACGACAAAAGCAAGCTTCGTCTCAGTCTGGCTCCTGCACCACTATCATAGCGTTGTTCTCAGTTATAGATAGCGCAGGAGAAGGTTTTTAGGAGGCCCTACCTATAATAACAGAGACCAGTATAGTGGAAATAGGGCAGGAAGCCCAGCCCGTCAACGCGTGACTGTGCAGTCAGCTACAGCCTGCACAGCAATTCGATCATAATAGGCGCGAACGGAAAAATAAATTACGCTAATTAAAGAGACATACAGCAGACGGTGTCTGATGTCATATTTTACGACCGTATAATTTATTGAGGTGAGCGAGAGAGAGAACAGAGCGCCACTGACAGCTGCGGCCGCGCGTTCACACGCACTACACACACACGCACGCGCACGCACGCACGCACGCACGCAACGCACGCACGCACACACACACACACACACAACACACACACACAACACACACACACCACACACACACAACTCATGCAGTCGTTATGTATGTAAACAGCATCGCTATAACCACAGGCACTTGGAGCGTTTCAATAAAATATAATGCTAAATAAATACGAAAATCTATGTTTCTCTTCATTCACGCTATTATGCCGACAAATTTCCTGTAAATGCCGTCAAAATGCTCATCTACAACAAACACTGGCTGCCGCCATTGCTGCCGCTGCACACTGAACACATAAATATATATTTATACACTCTGCGACGTGTATACAGTCGGAGAGCCTGCTCGGTTACCATAGGAGTAACAACTGTTTTGGGGCTAGCCTTAACATTCATATACCAAAATTTAACAAAATCGAATGAATCTAGATGGCCATTCTCATTTTTGCCAAAAAGTAGGCGTGCGCTCGAAAGTAGGTCGACTGGCGTGCTCCAAAATAGACGTTCAAACCTCTGCCATACGGAGTAACAACTACCAATTTTATGCAATTTGAAAACATGTGGGTCAAACGATTCTTGAGTTATCGTTGACCGTAGCCAAATGTTGACGGACGGACGCACGGACGGACGGACGTACGACGGGACGACACCCCATTGCACATAGCTCATCTTGACGATGTCAAGGGCGAGCTAAAAATCAGCCAAAATATATACTTTTTTAATTTTTTGTATAAACGTCGCCAGAGCAACACACGACGTCTGCTTGTATACGGCGGAGAACAATACAAAAATAAAATCTCACACAGCGACGCGGGCGCGGCCACCGACGCACGCGAACACATGTGAATGCAGGCAGTGAAGCGTAACGACACAGCGTAGTGACAAAAGAAACAAACTAAAACGTATCTGTCATGACGAGTGCGTGCATCGGCATACACATGCGTGCAACCGACGTGCGCTGCAGTCTATATACACTGTTGATCAACACTGGATGATTGTTGATCTGTTACTGGTGCTGTTTCATTACAGCCCTAGAAAAGATTTGACCGAGTGAGTGCAGTAGGTGAATGAGTGAGTGGGTGGCAGGTTAGTGCATGAAGTGGGTGGGGTGAGTGAGAGCTGACGTGAATGAAGTGAGTGACCATGGTGACACGCAATATGACTCATACTTTGTTAACAATACTGTACAACCCTGTCATAACTACTCGCCTTTCGTCATTTTTACGTAAATGCACTCGACAGAAAAATGATAATCGATTGATACAATAACCTGCAGTCGGCCGCACAGTTAATATTAATATAACGAAGAGGACACGTAAGAGATGCGCGACAGAGACACAGGTAATAGACGTAGGTAGAGATAGGAAAGGTAAGACATACATGTAAGAGCCACAGGTAAGAGATGCAGGTGAGACGCACGCACACGCACACGCACACGCACACGCACACACACACACACACGCCAGACGGGGGCGCCGACGGACGCAGACCGCACGAACGCCACGCACACACACACACACACATATATATATATATATATCAAGAGTCCATAATTTCTTGATATATATATATATATATAATACATAGTGGCAAGGGTAATGCGCTAAACACACTTAAGGCACATTGTTAGTTTCTCGCTTTGCACATGAGCGACTTGATAGAGTAAACCTGTGACTATATTGGGGACTCTATATAGAGAACGCGGTGCGCGTTACCTAATGGACCAATCGACGCACACCAGACGATCGCGTTTACTATTGTGATCAAGAATGTGCATGGGCCGTTTAGGCCTTACAATTGATCCACTCTCAGCATTACATACAAGCCAAGGCCATAGCACACGTAGGGTGGTGAAGGGCGGCAGCCCTTACCTAAGATTTCGGAGGAAAATGCGGAGAAACGCGCCTTATAAATGCGAATAACCTAAAATACGTGTGAGTGGTATAGTAGTAGCAGGAGCGTATAATGACAGATTTGTAGGACGTATTTGTCATTAAGGACGTATAAGGACGTATTTGTCATTATACGCTCCTGGTAGTAGTAATAGGATAATCATGACTCGGATCGTGACGCCGACGGTATAGCTGCGACCATATGGCGTTAGAAATGAAATCACTCCACGTCACCGCGTGTATTATCAGTAGCAGATAATAGACAATTATTGCCTACAAGTCTAAACAATGGCGTCAATAGCGAGTGCGATTCCTGCTCGTGTGCGGTCCGTAATTCGAGAGCTTTTCGGATTTCCTGAGGCTAACCGCGTCGTCTGCTGTTCCTCTTCGTTACCGCTAGCGCCACGGTTGTTTACTGTCCTCTGTCCACAATGAGGTTGGGCAGTCCTGCCAACTAGTACTAGTAGTAGCTCTAGACTCGAGTTACCACAGCGGTGGCCTAATAGTAACTAGAGCTCGCTCCTCTAGGCAATGAGTATCGAGTAACTTTGCGGTGGGCAGTGAGTGTGAGTCAGCCCTTGCTCGTGCTCTCTTTTGTGCGGCTGTGCCTACATGTATGGGGGGGGGGGCTGATAGAGTACTAATATTGCCGTAAAATGGATGCATTTTATATAGATTATAGGTAAATTTTTTCATCATCACTTGTGATTTTTGTTTTGCTTCGATTTTTGATACGGATTCTTTAAACCAGTCGGTTTCGGCTAGTTTTAGAACGTTAACGAACGCACATTGGTGAGACGTGGACCTGCATATTTACTGCGAGCTGAAACAATGTCCAATGTATCTACTGTGAACTGAGATTTGGGGTACCCCATCAGGATCTTCCTGCACACAGGTTGCATGTTACGTGGCTGTGGCCATGTCGCGTAACCTTATTGGGTAGTTTAGTCGCAGAGAGCACTGCGGCAAAGTTTTTGAATTCTTCATCCATCACCAGAAATCATCACTGTGAAAAAAAACATGATATATATGTATAAAAAATACGATAGATAAATGAATAGCAGAAATTCGCACATTGTATCATATGTATTTCTCACGGTCATTCATGGCCTCGTAGTAAAAAACAAAATTTTTCAGCGCTAACAATTTCGGCCAATTCTTCCCTTCCACGATTACAGCGTTACCATTACGTTCTCAGAATAGCCGCGCCACGCAACCACGTTGCGTGTAAAATTTTGCGTGGCGTATATTGGCCTTTACGGTAAGAAAACTGTAAATGAAACCTATATACCTTTTAGATAGGTCTTCAGTCAAATCGAGATCTGTGTGTTGTGACTGTTGTGGGCTTGCCTCGTTCTGTAACATATAAACAGTCATTGCCATAAAAGAACATTTCAAATGTCGAAAAAGAGTTACATTCTTTTTCTGCCAGTAGGTGGCAGCATCACACATACCGAGTTGTAAAAGTAAACATACATATTCAGCAAAGATTTTCTTTACTTTGTAAAACTGTCTTACGTGTGGAAACTCGACACTGCTGCAAGGCAAAGCTATCACCAGAAGTTCAATGCAATGGTAAGGTAATTAGGGTAAAAATATTTTTGTATTGTTCACGCACAAAACCGTGTTCACACGTACGGTGTTATGCAGTACGCGCTGTAGCCTGTACTCTGTAGTGTAGGCTAGCGTCAGCGTGGTGGGGGCGTGTGATCAATACAGCCACATAATACAGGGTTGGCATGCCTTACCGTTATAGGTATGTGTTTTCCCCCACCCTCCAATATTTTATCAATATCATGTCAGCTGTCTATCACCTGTCATATGGACAGATAAAGGTTCAATGCTTTTTACACTTTCATGCAGAGGAATTTCCAACCGTACAACATAGTGCGCGCATGACGACACCGCCGCCTGGGATGTCAGACGCCGGCGAGGCAGCGCCAGCAGGGGGCGCCCTGAAGGTACTGCGCGTGTCGCAGCTGGACGCGTCGCAGCTGGACGGAGACCTGCTGGAGCTGCTGCGTGAACAATGCGCGCTCGCGCTCAAGTACTGCCACCACCCGGGCGCCGTCGCCTCCCTCCGCCCCGAGCTTGACGCCCTGCTGCGCCTCCTGGTGTGGAGATTCTCGCTGTACGCGCACGGCGCCACCGTCGGCCAGGACCTGCTCGACGTCCGTTACGTTGACGCCCGCTCCGGCGCACCGATCGCGCGCATGCAGATGTTCGCCTACGCCGCCGTCGTCGTCGGATGTGGTTACCTCGGCGACCGCCTCGACGACCTCCTCCGGATGCTGCCGGCGTCGGTGCCGCGCGGAACCGTCGCTAGGTTTGCGCGCCGGGCCGAGGCGGCGGCGAGGGCAGCCGCACTGCTCAACTTCTTCATGTTTCTGCGCCACGGCGATTACCAGCTTCTCCTAGAGAGGGCGCTGGGGTTGCAGGCACAGTTCCGGCGGCCGCAGGAGGCGCGCACGCCGAGCTTCAAGTTCACGAACCGCGAGATCCTCTGGAACGGCTTCTCGGAGTTCCTGCTGTTCCTGTTGCCGTTCGTGAACTTCCGCCGGCTGCGAAACTCGTTCCGGAGGATGCTCGCGCGCAACACGGCGCCCCCTGGCAGCGCGCGCGTCATCCCAACGGAACTCGGCCAGTGCGCGGTGTGCGAGCTTCCGCCGTGCGTGCCACACGGCATTGGCTGCCGCCATGTGTTCTGTTACTACTGCATTGTGGGCAATGTCATGGCGGATGCGTCGTTTGCGTGTCCTCGTTGTGGCGTGAGGGTCGAGGGACGTGAATCTGTGAACCCGGTCATACTGTGGGAGAGGTAGCCATGCTGTGATGTGTATAAATAGACTGTGATTCTTTCTTAAGCAACGAGCTAATTGTGATAATGTATGATACAATATAATAATGCAATACACTTTCAAGTGGACAACGTTAATTTAAATCTGTGTTGTGAGATCGCAATATAAAACAGTATTCTGTAATAAAATTTCACACTCGAAATTGGGAGGTGCAATGTTGTAGCACTTTTGCCCAAAATCTTTTTACAAATAAATTGAAGAATAATTTCTCCCAAACCAACTTTCTATTTTTGGGTATCCCTAATTAAGGTACGGTTGGAGGCTTATAATATATTTATTTTGGATTCATCTACTATATACACAAAATGTGGCTAGCATTTGGTATTGCACAAGTCGTTACATATTTGTATGCAATCAATCAATCCTCACTAACACTACATAAAATAGTTTATGGCAGATATCGATATGGCAGCGCCATCTATCGCAACGACTTTACATTTGAAACATTTCTATCGACTGGCTACGTCAGAAAGGAAATATTTCATGGCACCGAACTCATCCATTGACGTTCTTTCGATGATTTCAACAGATTAGGTTGGTAAAGGCCAAGGCCGGGTACGTGTTATTGAATTTATTACTTCTAAAAACACATGGAATTCACTGGGTCTATGTAAGTTGCAATTGGCTGTAAATACACCATATTCAGTACCACAAGTTCTTATCAACTAACATCGTCCTATCAAATCACCGTACTGCCACTGGACATCATCTCTATCCTTGAACCGTACTGGCTACACCTCTCACGTACGTTTTTGCCACATTGGCAGTCGAGAGGTTCAATTATATATAGGTCCACTGAATTACTAGCCCTTCGGCTCTACTACTATTAGTACTAGTATCAGTAATACTTTTCTCTAGTCTAAGCCTAAAATGCATGACGTTTCGT